TTCTCTCTCTTTCTCTTTCCTTCTCTTTCTCTCTCAATCTCTCTCTTACCTTCTATTTCTCTCTCTCTCTCTCTAAATTTACCTTCTATTTCTCTCTCTCTCTCTCTCTCCAGTTACCTTCTATTTCTCTCTCTCTCTCTCTCTCGGTTACCTTCTATCTCTCTCTCTCTCTCTCTCTCTCTCTATTTCTCCTTCTCTTTCTCTCTCTCTCTCTCTCTCTCAGTTACCTTCTTTTCTCTCTCTCTCTCTCTCTGTTACCTTCTATTTTCTCTCTCTCTCTCAATTTACCTTTTTCTTTCTCTCTCTCTCTCTCTCTCTTTACCTTCTTCTCTCTCTCTCTCTCTGTTACCTTCTTCTTTCTCTCTCTCTCTCATTTACCTTCTATTTCTCTCTCTCTCTCTCTCTCCCTCTCTATTTCTCTCTCTCTCTCTCTCTCTACCTTCTATTTCTCTCTCTCTCTCTCTCTTCTATTTCTCTCTCTCTCCCTCTCTCTCCATTACCTTCCTTTCTCTCTCTCCCTCTCTCTCTCTCTCTTTCTCTTTTCTCTCTCTCTCTCTCTCTCTCTCTCTCGGTTATCTTCTATTTCTCTCTCTCTCTCAATTTCTTCTCTCTCTCTCTCTCTCTCTTTCTCAGTAAAAATCTATTTCTCTCTCTCTTTCTCAATTTACCTTCTATTTTCTCTCTCTCTCTCTCTCTCTCAATTTACCTTCTATTTCTCTCTCTCTCTCTCTCTCTCTCTATTTCTCTCTTTCTCTCTCTACCTCTCTCTCTCTCTCTCTCTGTTTACCTTCTATTTCTCTCTCTCTCTCTCATTTACCTTCTATTTCTCTCTCTCTCTCCTTTACCTTCTATTTTCTCTCTCTCTCTTTCTCTCTCTCTCTCTTCTCTCTCTCTCTATGTTACCTTCTATTTCTCTCTCTCTCTCTCTCTACCTTCTTTTTCTCTCTCCCAGTTATCTTTTATTTTCTCTCTCTCTCCCTCCTCTCTCTTCTCTCTCTCTCTCTCTCTCTCTCTCTCTCTCTCTCTCTCCCTTACCTTCTATTTCTCTCTCTCTCTCTCTCTCCCTCTCTCTCTCTCCCTCTCTCTCCTTACCTTCTTTTTCTGTCTCTCTCTCTCTCTCTCTCTCTCTCTCTCTCTCTCTCTCTCTCTCTCTCTCTCTCTCTCTCTCAGTTACCTTCTATTTCTCTCTCTCTCTCTCTCTCTCTCTCTCTCTCTCTTCTCTTTCTCTCTCTCTCTCTCTCTTTTCTCTTCTCTCTCTCTCTCACCCCTTCTATTTCTCTCTCTCTCACCTTCTTATCTTCTCTCTCTCTCCTCTCACCTATTTTCTCTCTCTCTCATTACCTTCTATTTCTCTCTCTCTCTCAATTACCTTCTATTTCTCTCTCTCTCTCAATTACCTTCTATTTCTCTCTCTCTCAATTACCTTCTATTTCTCTCTCTCTCTCAATTTACCTTCTATTTCTCTCTCTCTCTCTCTCTCTCTCTCTCCTTCTCTCTCTCTCTCTCTCTCTCTCATTTACCTTCTATTTCTCTCTCTCTCTCTCTCCCCCCCTCTATTTTCTCTCTCTCACCTTCTATTTCTCTCTCTCTCTCTCTCACCCTATTTCTCTGTCGCTCTCAGTTACCTTCTCTCTCTCTCTCTCTCTCTCTCTCTCTCTCTCTCTCTTTCTCTCTCTCTCTCTCTCTCTCTTTCTTTCTCTCTCTCTTTCTCTCTCTCTCTCTCTCTCTCTCTTCTCTTTCTCTCTCTCTCTCTCTCTCTCTCTCTCTCTCTCTCTCTCTCTCAATTTACCTTCTTTCTCTCTCTCTCTTCTCTCTCTCTCTCTCTCTCTCTCTCTCTCTTTACCTTCTATTTCTCTCTCTCTCACCTTCTATTTCTCTCTCTCTCTCTCAATTTACCTTCTATTTTCTCTCTCTCTCCTTCCTTCTCTCTCTCTCTCGCTCACCTTCTATTTCTCTCTCGCTCACCTTCTATTTTTCTCTCGCTCACCTTCTATTTCTCTCTCGGTTACCTTCTATTTCTCTCTCTCTCTCTCTTTCTCTCGCTCTCTCTCTCTCTCTCTCTCTCGCTTACATATTTCTCTCTCTCTTTCTCTCGGTTACCTTCTATTTTTTTTTCTCTCTCTCTCTTGGTTACCTTCTATTTCTCTCTTTCTCTCGGTTACCTTCTATTTTTTTCTCTCTCTCTCTCTTGGTTACCTTCTATTTCTCTCTCTCTCCCTTTCTCTTGCTCTCTCTCTTTCTCTCGCTCACCTTCTATTTCTCTCTCGCTCTCTTTCTTTCTTTCTTTCTCTCTCTCTCTCTCTCTCTTTCTCTCTTTCTCTCGCTCTCTCTCTTTTTCTCGCTCTCTCTCGTTTACCTTCTATTTCTCTCTCTCATTTACCTTCTATTTCTCTCTCTCTCATTTACCTTCTATTTCTCTCTTTTTCAGTCACCTTCTATTTATCTCTCTCTCTCTCTCTCACCTTCTATTTATCTCTCTCTCTCTCTCTCACCTTCTATT